TATACGCATGAAAACGACGAACGCGCTACACGTTGGGTATCGCCGCGCACGCCGGAGCGAGAGCAATAATCCTAGGGCCAGTATTTTGGGGTATTTCTAAATTGATGACCTGTGGGGGCTTTTAAAGTGTCTTTTATTGACTTTTTGGGGTACTGCAGTTTTTCGCCGTTTCACGGTCGCACGCAATCTGTAAACTGGGCATGTTGGGTATCGTTTTACTCGTTGTAACCTCATCTTTTATATTTCATTTAAAAAAATGGGTAATTTGTTGTGTTTTGGGGCATTTAATTAAATTTGTCACTAAATTTTGTGGTTTAATAAGGAGTTGCGCTAATATTGCGCAACATAAAAATTTTCAACTACCACCATTTTATTCTATAGGGTCTTGGCATTCAGAAAATATATAATGTTGGGGGGTTTTACGTCATTTTCAGGCCTAAAATGTGGAATATAACATGGGTGCAAAAATTGAAAAAAGGGCCTCAGTCATGAAGGGGTTAAGGCCTCCAGTGAAATCTGAACAGCAACTTCTAATTTCTCTAAAGTAAACCTGCACCTTGAAAACGAGCCGACCAAAAGAGGAAATTTTATTTTTCCTCCACTATTATATGGACTCTAGTAAACTCAGTACATCTGCACTAATGAACTTAACAAAAGTGATTTCTTTGGGATTTCTCAAACATGAGCAGATAGGAAGTGCTCCGGGGTCATTAACACTTGAGAGCAGTCGGATGGAAAGGTGTTGCCCATTTAGCACAGGTATGCCAAACAGCAGCAAATTGGAGCCAGATGTCACCAAAGCCTCTGTCACTCATCTGCATTATATGGGCAAGAACTGGCAAAACATTCACATGAATGACTCCTGTCTGGGAGAGAATCCACCGCCTATTCCCAGCTACGTCCAGGGCTTGAATCTACAAGGCATGATAGGAATAAATTGAACTGTAAAAAGGAGGGATTGTCGGTCTATTCATCAGCTGGACACAACTGCACAATCAACACGGAGATGTCAGCTGATGAAAGAAGTAGAATAATGCTGAGCACAAATGTAAAATGGAAGTTGGATGTATGACTTGTATCTCTAAACCTGAAGAAGAACTCAGGGGAAAATGTTTCTTAAAAGGAGAACTGAGGTGAGTGATTTTCACTCAGCCTCATAGTTCGAGCCGACGTACGACAATAAAACTGTCACAGGTCGGCTCAATAGATCGGGAAGAGAGCGAACACATACAGTCGTTCGCTCACTTCTTGATCCTGTCCCTGCAGAGAGCTGTGACTGTCACTCGCGGCTCTCTCCAGGGATTCCTCTCCCCCCCTCCCCTGTCCGATCCTCCAGCGCTGACTGGCAGAACGGACGGGTACAGATGGCTCTGCCTCTAGATAGGCAGAGCCAGCTGTCAATCACGCAGCTGGGCGGATCTCGACAGTAATGTCGGGATCCGTCCCGGCAGTGGCGTCTCAGTATACTGAGCTTTGGGTGATGGGAGGACGCTAGTTTGTGTCCTCCCGTTACCTTAATTTCTCTAAAGTAAACCTGCACCTTGAAAACGAGCCGACCAAAAGAGGAAATTTTATTTTTCCTCCACTATTATATGGACTCTAGTAAACTCAGTACATCTGCACTAATGAACTTAACAAAAGTGATTTCTTTGGGATTTCTCAAACATGAGCAGATAGGAAGTGCTCCGGGGTCATTAACACTTGAGAGCAGTCGGATGGAAAGGTGTTGCCCATTTAGCACAGGTATGCCAAACAGCAGCAAATTGGAGCCAGATGTCACCAAAGCCTCTGTCACTCATCTGCATTATATGGGCAAGAACTGGCAAAACATTCACATGAATGACTCCTGTCTGGGAGAGAATCCACCGCCTATTCCCAGCTACGTCCAGGGCTTGAATCTACAAGGCATGATAGGAATAAA